TGCAATGGAACGAAATCATATGCAGTAAAATTGCAGGATCAAAGGCATACGTGTTATAGTGGAAGATGCAGTGGTTCGGGCACAATTGTACCCGTTTCACTCTTCATGTGCAGCCACTTCACTTAACTTTTGAGCAAACATTTAGGCAGAGCATGGGATATCCAACCAACACATGAGATGCTTAAGTGGACCAACTTGGACTATACAAAATAGGTAGGTTTGAAGCCGGCCACCTATCTTGCCTTCGTGTTTTTGATGAATTATCTTTAAGCATGGTGTCCTGCTCTGAAGGTGCCCGTCACATGACGGACAAAAGCTCTGCAAGGCTTTATCGGGGTCGCAGGGCGGTGCGCCAAAGACCTATTAGCACACTCCTACAATCACAGCTCCAAGGCAATACCCCTACAGCTTCCAGTGAGACCGACTTACGAATCGCTTCCACGCGCCTCTTCAAACGAAATGAAAGGTACTCCAACATTAATGATGATGTCAGATAATCTGATCAAAGCTATACTTGATTTTTAGATTTAAGGCTTGAATCCTAGAGTCATTTGCCCAACCAAAGACAGTAATAAACAGTATCAACAAAATATATGAATGAACAATACAATTTTTTAAAGACGTTTATATTTAACCAAGATGTTTCATAAAATATAGCCTAATAAGACATCAAAAAATCTATCGGAAAGCTTCCATAAAAAAATTTAAAGCTAGCAAGTGCTACTTAAACAAGCAAGAATAAACCCAAGCTTACTTATACTTTATTATCTAAAAGGAAATTTTCATTACTAAGTATTAAAAATAATTTAATGGGCAGCGAAGGAAAGGATGAAAATGAGGGTGAGATGATACAATAGAAAACAAATGTCTGTTTTACGCCCTGCAGAGATTTTCGGCTAAATAATGCTCTAGTAGCATCATGGACTTAGTAAACTGCAAGAATAGTATAGTTCATTTTTAAATCTTGATCTTGAAAGCTAAATTTAATTTTAACTAACCTTCATTTTCACGACGAATTTTTCCATAGGCAAGCAGTGTAGGTGTCGCCCATTTTTGATTAGCACCAATAAATTGCAACAGTAACTTCATATGCATAACACTTTCCTTGTAATCACCTATCAGAAAAATTTAGATTAACAAATAATTCACACTTTTAATGTCATTAGCTTTCCTTTATAGTATTTACCTGTTTCCAAAAGAAAGTGCCCTAAAAGGTAGTATGACTCTGCATATCTTTTTCCAAGAGTTTCATAAACCTTTTGGAGACCTCCTAAATCCTGATTCTCGTCATGAGATTGGTCGGTATTGCTACGGTGAAAGGTAAATTCGGCACGCTGCAACGCTTGGGTAACTTTTTCAACGCATTTTGTCAAAAAATGCCGTACTAACCAAAAGTCCTCTGAATTATTTGCGTCATAATAGAGGTTTGCTGCTAATCGGAGATATCCAACGAAACTCTCCTCTAGTCTTCCAGATCGAGCCAACCGTTCTATTTCAATAAGTCCACTGCAAATCTGTCCTAATTTTGCATGCTGTTCAACTAGAGGAGTGATCATCCAAAGAAACGAGTCACGGCCTGCCTCAATTCTTCGCATTTCTTCTTCTTTAACCAGTGAAAAAAGTTCTGTAAAGGCCTCATGACAACCAGATTTAAGCATTTTAATGCTCAGATTGTCAAAAAATGGTAATCTATACCTGAAATAATTTTAGGATAAATACTGTAATAATTCAGATAAGGTAGACAGACTTATTTAAGGTTGTTGAGTATAAATATAAATGAATATTATCTTAGAACTGGAATAAGTAAGTCGCACTTTTAAGAACCATACTAAAAATGTTTTACTAAGAACAAAAAACGCAACAAATATTTGCTTTGAAAAGAACGATCATTTAGTTATAATTGCAATTCGATTCGAAACCATCAAACTCTGTTTCAGTAATTGGAGGCGATCTTTATGGAAATGTATCTATTTATGTTGGTATGCCCTTCATTTCATTTGAAGAGGCAAGTGGTGTGATTCGTAAGGTTGCCTTATTTAAAGTCGAAAGATGATTGTTTTTTAGTATATATTGGTATATTTAGTTTCTGTCTGATCTTTC